ATAAGGACAAAAGTCTTTCATATTCCCGTGTTTACTGCATGGGGATGGGGGTGCTCATTCGTGTGTGTAGATCCACCCTTCCTTCTGTCTACAGGGCTTCCTTCGGTGGTCCCTGAAAAGCCTACACTTTGGAGATGAGTTTTAATGCATTTTTGTACCTGAAAAAGTATTTACCTGAATTCAAAAAATCCTTTCATTGGGGGTATTGAAATATTTCTTTCGGTATGCTATAGATGTTGTCCCTTGCTGTGCTCTCTCTGCAACTTTTCTGCAAACGTAAAGCTGTTCTCAAGTTACAAGTTTATTAGCAAGTGAATGGATTAAAACTACACGCACCAAGAAAACCCAAACTCAGAAGAAAATGTATATGTAATTTTAACATTTCTTGACAGTTTAAATATGTGCATAGTTTGCTCATTTCTACTCCCTATTACTCTCTCATCCCCCTCTCCTGTTGAAATCCTTATTCTTCCCAACAACTCCTCCTCCTCTCATGTTTTTTTTCCTCCATGACCTATTGAGTTTAATTATGGTTGGTGTATGAGCATGGGTGTGGAGTTACTTAGTCGAGCAGGGACAACTTATTTGTGGCTACACCACTGAAAAAAATGACTCCTCCTTTCCCAGCAGCCATTAACTACTAGCAGCTCTTGGGGGAGGAGTGGGGCCTTATGAGCCCCTCCCCATCCATAGCACATTGTTGGGCCCATCATGTGTCATCTTGTGCAGGTAACCACAGCGGATGCTAATTCCTGTCATGTCCAGGAGACAGTGTTCACACATTCCTCTCATACTCTGGCTCTTATGTTCCTTCATCTTGCAATGAAAACTACAATGGAGAATGAAAGCTATCAAAGAGAAAAGGGTGGATAACAGCTGTTCTGCACTTAACTATGAAAATGGGTTAGCACATACTTGTAGAAGCTCAGAGGGGTGGGCACATAGATAAATATTGTAGGGGCCATTACAGCAAAGTGGGAGGCACCAATGATACCCTGTTCTGACCAAGTGGTTGCTATGCTACACTGATGTGTCATTTTGAGTTTATTGTTGATCAGAGTGCTTCTACGTGTAGAGATACTTATTACACCAACAACTTTTTTTTTTCAGAATTAAAAGAAGGTGTTAATGCATTATCTTTTGGCTTGCATTCTCTCAGTAGAGAAGTCTGTCTGATGCCACCCTCTGTTACTTTGTTCATAATGTCCCCAACCAGTTTTGTGGCCAATTTTAAGATTTTTCTCTTTTAGTCACTTTGACTGCTATGGGCTTTTATTCTGTTTTTTTCCCGTTCTTTCTTTACATTCTGCAGGTTTTTTGACCTATGGAACCTTCATCAAATTTAGAGGGGGAAAACCCTGGCTTTTACTTTTTCACGCCCTTTGGCCTCCTCGCTCTTGGGTGAACACAGAAAGTCGGCTGCTTCCTCCTTCATGGGTCACCCGTGCTTGTCTTCCTTCTTCCCCTTTATTCACCTCCACGCCATTCACTAGGCAGTTAAACCTGGCCCATCTTCAAGATAGTTAACGGTTTCCCCCTGTAATTTGCTGTGAATTCATCTGGCATGCTTCTAGTTTAAGATGCTAAGCTTTTCATCTGTAGGAGTTGTACACGAGTCTCTGAAATATCTTTTATTTTCCCCTTTATGCATCTTTACCCCTTGATCTCGGAGCTCACTTATAAGATTCAGCACAGCTATTTTTAAGGTTGTTCTCTTAATCCCACAGTGTCTTGCACTTGCAGATTTTTACCCCTTCATTGTGTGTTTCCTTCTGGTTTTAAGTTCTGCCTGCCTGCTATAGGTATGCCTGGCAGCATCTGAGTGCAGGCTGGGTACTTTTTACTGTCTTGTGCTGCATTCTGTTGTTCCCTTTAAAGGGTCTTGTGCCTTTTCTGATACAAATTCCAGTTATTGGGAAATCTATTTAAGTCTTTTAGGAATGCTTTTAAGCATTATTATTGCAAGTCCAGACTGGTTCTCCTCCCAAGCCCGATTTATTCTCACAATGAAGGCTCCCAAACCTGCTGAGGATTCCGTCCATCATCTGGTCTCTACACGCTGGGTTGTGTGTGAGATCTGAACTCTCCCCTCCCTCATTCTATCCTCCTCCTTCCTTTTCATCTCAGCAAATGACAGTGTATCCCTGCTTATTCACGGTACAAGTTCAGGTGTTAGCTTTAACACCTTTCTTGTCACCCAAACCAAATTAATAAGTTCCCTATATTCTATCTGCAGCGTCTCTCCACTGTTCATCTGCAAATAGCTCTTGCTAGAAATCCATTCTCTGAATTCGAATGGTCTTACTCCACGATGCATTGAGCAGAGCTCAGGACTTAGAGGGGCACCTTTGCAGATGTCTGGATCTCTCTTTAAGGACAGCTTTCTCTTTTCTGACCCTCTGTCCTACAGTATCCAGCTGCCTCGACCTCCCCAGTTCTGTTCTATCTCCTGAATTCAGCACTGGGCTCGGTTTTGACTGCCTCCTCTAAAGTTTGGTCATTGAAACTGCCCTCCAGGCAGGGGACAAAGGCCACCATTGAGCTATCTGATCACATTTCTCTTTTCCTCAGGATCACAATCCTGCTACCCTGTTCAATGTCTTGTAAAATGTGTGTTATACATTTCTCTGCTTGTGTACTATTTATGGAGTGAGAAAAAAAACTTTTGTAGCAGTGACACCCCAGGCTCAAACACAGAAGTCTCCTGTCAGAAAATCCTTTAGGGGCAATTCTCAGAAGTTTGTCACCTTGCTTCTACTAAGGTTGGACTATGAGAATTGAGTTACAGGGCTGCATGTGGCTCTGAGGAGGGGCTCTGAATAATAAAATCTAGTCTGATGGCCATGTGTCCTATTAGCTACATTACTATAGAGGGAAGAGAGAGAGAGACAGAGATACAGAGAGACAGAGAGAGACAGACAGAGAGAGAGAGAGAGAGAGAGAGAGAGAGAGAGAGAGAGAGAGAGAGAGAGAGAGAGAGAGAGTGTGTGTGTGTGTTACTGGGACTTGAATTCAAACTCTTGCCTATTTTCAGCACGGGCTCTACTGCTGAGCTACACCTGAGCCGTAAGTTGTTCACACATCCAAATGGATGTCCAAGAAACGCAAAGGCATTGCAAACTAAAAGTGGTTCAAAAATCTCCTGCCCTGTCCTTCCAAGCTCCCCTCTTTTTCTCCATCTCAGGAAGAATAACAGCATATCCCCCAGTCACTCATGGCTCAAGTGTAGGTGTGACTAAAGCCCTTCCTTGTCCCCCAAACCTAACCGATGGCTAGGTTCTCAGCTCCCACACTTGCCTGGTCTCTCCACTATTAAAGCCCCTCCCATCCCCTATGATACGATGCTCTCAAACCTAGTCTTCGCTATGACCAGAATTACTTTCTTGTTTTAGAACTGATAAATAAATGATATCTATTTATGCACACAGTATGATGCTCAGTTGTATATATATACACTGTGTGTTGCCGCATTCTTATTTCTTGTGATGAGAATATTAAAAATTCCGCCTACTAATTTTTAAGCATGGCATAGATTATTATTAACTGTACTCCCTTTGCTGTGCAGTCAGTCTCTGAAGTCCATCCTACCTGTCTAATTGAGATATGTCTCTGGCCATGCCCCTCCCTGCTTCTGTCTGAGGACCACCATTCTGCTCTCTGCCTCAGTGAGTTAGATCTTTATTTCCCATGCGAGATAATTCGATAGTTTTGTTTCTATGCATGGTTTATTTCCGAAGCATAATGTGCTCCAGGTCATTGCTCTTGTACAACAGATTACTGTTCAGTCTTAACAGATAAGGAGGTCTTTAGAAAATACATTTTAATGTGCATGTGTGCACACACACACGCACGTAGGTGCTTTTCACACGTAGGTGAAGGTCAACTTGTAGGTATAAGTTCTGTCCTGCTACACGGGTCCTGGGAACAGAACTTAGGTGTTCAGGCTTGTCAGAAAGCACCTTCACCTGCTGAGCCATCTCACTGGCCCCGAACAAGGAGATCTTGTCATTTATGACAACATGATTGAGGCGTGAATTACATCACAACGATAAAGTTTGATGGCATCTACCTCTCTTTTAACAATTCTCCCATCCCTCCCTCTGATGTGAGTGGGCATTTCATCCTGGTTTGCAGATGTCACACTGTCCCCGCTTCCCTTCCTGAATTCCCCTCTCGTCCTTCACTCTGCCCGCTGTACCTAGCTGGTGCCCTCAGCTGTTCCCTCTGCCCACAGGGACTTCTGCCCAATCTTACTGGAACAGGATTCCTCCTCCCTTGCTATTTGACTCTGAGCGTCAGGGAGACCCACCAAACGTAAGTTAGCCTTTTAGTTCCCTATTGCCTCACACAGTTTTTCTTCACTGTATTCCATCTTTTTGCTGCCTGATAGGAATCGAACAATTCTTTTGCCTCCTATCTAGACTGTAAGTTCTGGAGCAGGGGCACTACTTCTTATAAGCTGTTTAATGCCAGTCCTTAGAATCATTCATGGAACACAGTAAGCCCCAGGCAAACACCCACCATGACCGTTATAAAATTGGGTCAACCATCTGTCTTTGTATATGTTGCCCTCACCTAGGTAAAAGGGCTTCTTCTTAGAAATTGTTGCCCCAGTTGGACTCATCAGATAATAAGAAAGTTCAGAGCCATTGAGTGCATGACTTTGATGATCTCTGAGTAAGCCAGTTTCCTGTGACTATAACAAATACCCAAAGACAATCAACTTATAGAGAGAAGAGGTTTATTTGAGCTCCCAGCTGATGATTGGTTAATGTCATTGCCTTGGCCTCTGGCCAGGCAATATATCATGATCATGGCATTGGCAAGTAGCAGAGCCAAACTGACCCCATGACCAGAGAACAAAAGAGAATGCAGAGAGGCGACCAGAGTTCTAGAGTTTTTATGACACAGGTACTACCTGCCAGATTCCACCACTTCCCAATAGTGCCACCTTGTGGACAAAACCTTTCACACACCGGACTTTGGCCGGGGGGGGGGGGGATTTAGGATATAAACTGGTTTTTCTCCCCCACCAACTTATGACATTACTGGGTATCTTATAGGATATTTAGGGCTCAAGAAAACAAATGTAGAGGTTTGTCTCAGCTACTGGCCAGTATAGCCAGCTGGGCTTAGAAGTCCTGGGTCCCTGCACCCACTCCTTTGCTGCTTAACTCCTGGCTGCACTAGTCTCTGCTAGGATTAGCTATGCCAGGACTGCTGCTGCGCACAGGGCGATCAGAGCCGGAAAACAGCCTGCTTTGCAGTTTTCAGGTACTATAGCAGGCCTGCGTAGGATTAAGCTAGATGGATGTAGGCGGGAAGAATGCTGACAAAGGTGTGTCAGTGGGGAAAGTAGAACACTTCCTGGGGCGAGCAGAAACACTGAGACAATTGGAAAAACTTTCGTGTGGCGGGATTTAGAAATGTGGAGTACTATTAGGCTGTGCAAGATTCCTATACCTCCGAATTTCCCTTACAGCTAAAATACCTTTATTATAGAAGGCGCCCTAGAACTTGATAAAACCAGATGACTCGGGAGCCCATTTCGTTAGCTTTCCGTCTCTAGGTGGGAATGCCCTCTACTGCAGGGAACTGAATGGTGGCCGCTGGCTCCGAAAGTGATAGTACGTGATGGAGAATTTGCCCTTTCTCTATCGTAGGAAACCAATTATTAAGGGGTTTTCCTTATGTGGCAGGGATGCAGCTGGATGATGGTGTTTGCCTGGGAGCCAGGCCATAAGCTCAATCCCCAGCATTCCAAAAAGAAACGAGCAAACGAAAGACTTCCTGTATTGGACACAGACATTCGTGAACTGCCCTTTAAACGCTCTGTTTTCCTCTTCAGAGCTCAACAGAGGAGCCTTAAAAACTCTCCCATCCAACTGTCTGAGAGGAATGGAACTGTGCTTTCCTACATTCATATTGAAAAGTTCAATGCCCCCGGGTGGCTGTATTTTGGGACACGCTATTCGATAAGGTAATTAAGAATATGGGGAGTCCTGGTATGGGGTCCCAATAGGCTAAGATGTGGGGTTCATCTTCTAAAGAGAGGAAGAGCCACCAGGGACAGATGAGGCAAGAAGAAACCGTAGAATGTAGGTTGTCACATGCAATCCTGAGAGAGGTCGCTGGAGAAACTTAAACTGCCTTTGCCTTGATTCTGGACTCCAGAACTCTGAGAAAGTAAAGTTGTGGTCAGTGTTATTTTGTGAATAGCAGCCTGCTTAGTCGTTGTCCACCTCTGATTGCCAGGGAAAGCTTGGGAAACCCCCATTCAGGTGAAATGGCTCCTCCTGCTTCAGTCGCTGCTTAGGACTGAGACATCCCTTAGGTTTGCTGACGACCACAGGGAAGCACTGTCACAGTCACAGTCACAGGACAACTCCTTTGCTCCACAGGCACTGCTTTCATAGTAAGTACACTAAAGCCCCATACTTTGAGAACTATCGACTAAGTTTAACTTCCGTGTTAGTCAGTTTTCTGTTCCATATCAAAAAGACCTGAGACAAACAGCTTATGAAGAGGAAAGGCTTAATTAGGGTTAGGTTTATGGTCTAGTTACCACAATCATTCTTCAACTTCTGCTGAGGCAGAACACCCTCCAGGAATGTATGGAGAGAGAGAGAGAGAGAGAGAGAGAGAGAGAGAGAGAGAGAGAGAGAGAGAGAGAGAGAGAGAGAGAGAGAGAGAGATTTTGAAGGCTTACCTACTTGGCATCACCTCTTTTTAAAAAGATATTTTTTTCTGTGTGTACATGTCTGTGTATATGTGCACATGTATCGGGTGCCTGCAGAAGCCAGGAGGCCATTGGATCCCTTGGAGTTGGAGTTACAGGTGGTTGTGAATCTCTGGAATGTGAGTACTGAACTCTGGTTCTCCACACGATCAGCAAGCACTTTTATCCACTGAGCTACCTTTCCAGCCCCAGGCATCACATCCTAAAGGTGCCCCCCCCAGGTCTCCCGACAGCCCCAAGCAGAGAATCAAGCCCTTAGCACCCCCTGCGGTAAGACATCTCAGGCCCAGTTACAGTGTATTCCAATGATGTTTAAGCCTCTGTCACAGGGTTTGCTCATTGCTCACTGTCCAGTGCCCAAGCTTGCATCGACAGCCTTGGATTTGCCTCCTTTTGTAAAAAAAAAAAAAAACCATCCCAACACATTCCCTGCCTGCCCTCAAATGCTATGATTGGAAAATCAGTCCACCTTCTCCTGGCATCTTCATCGCTATGTTGAGCTGGAAGAGGTCAAGAAGGGAAGCTGGTATTCCAGGGATAGCAGTAACAACTTGTGTCCATATGGAACACCACAGGTTACAACTCTCTGCTGGTTTATGGATCCTGAAAAAAATTAGGAAATGAGCCTCATCTTTCATGACCTTGCTTGATGGGCTGAAAAGGAACTAGGAACCAAGAATGTTCATCTTAGTTTTGAGGTCACATGCCTAAGAGTGAAGGAAAGGGCCTGATAGCTTCCAGGATCACTTATCTTCAATATTCTGTCATGGATAACTTCTTCATATGGCAGATCTACATACATACAAAGTCTCCCACTTCTAGGTCAATGTCCCTGCAGATTTTTGTTGTTGCTGGTATTTTGTTTTAGTTTCTATAGACAGGGTCTCTCCGTGTAGTCCCAGCTAGTTTCAAACTCTATTTCCTGTCTATTCCTCCTGAGTGCTGGAATTGCAGTAATGAACCACTGTATCTGTCCACCCACCCACCATTATCCTTTGTTGTCTTGTATCTGTTCCAAACCTAGACAGGCAGAACCCTCTCAAGCCGAGTCCATCATCCTTTGCTTTGTTTGGGGGACAATGTCTTGCTACAGAGCTCATGCTGGGTTGGAATTCACCATATAGCCCAGACTGTCCTCAACCTCCTCAGACACCCCGCCTCAGTCTCTCCAGCACTAGGATTGCAGAGGCATGTACCACGGTGTGCGACTCATTATTACTATTATTTTAAGCAGAGCCCTGCATTCTGCAAATTCACACACATTCACAAGCGCTTTGTTTCCTCTCCAAAGGATTCACTCTTTCCACTAATCACTTGAAGAATTCAGTTTGAAATTCTTTTGCAAGTTATTGAGCTCTCTGCATCACCAAACGCCACCTCAGCCGTTCTTCCCACCCTGCATCCATGCTCCTTCCTAGGACCATGGGGTGCGGTTTCCCCTGCAGCCTCTCTTCCTGCTTCGGCAAGATCAGCCGGGTGCTCTCGAGCTCCCCGCTCAGCCATTGTGAGTGCTCCTTTTTCATCTGCACATTTGAGATGCATGTCTGCCACATCTTTATTCAAGGTGCCAATAAAATACATTATGTATGACTTGGTTTGCTGAGAAAATGATCATGTTTTGTGTATTTAGGGATGTAAGAGTTTGTAAAGAAGCAGAGATGGGGGGGGTTGTTATTTCCTGACAAACAAGCTCTTCAGGAAAATAGTATTCTGCTTTCACTCCTGCTTGTCACCCCTTCCCCCCATTCAGATCTCCACAGCCCCACCCAGAGCACCTAGTACCCAAGTGGAATGAGAAGGAGGCAAAGCTGAGTGGACAGGGAGCATCCTGAAAGTCCAGGCCAAGACTTCCAGCTTAAACACAGCGGGCAGTAGGCAAGTACTTGCGGTCTGTAACGAGAGAATGCTGCAAGGACAGGCGTTTTTATCTGCCAGGGGGAGTCCTTCTCTGGATCCCCACAGTCAAAGCATGGGCACACTTCAGAGCTTGCAATTTCTGTGCTGACCATCAGCAACTTGAAAAGAAATTCTTTTTAAACCCTCTCTGTGTGTGTGCATACATGTGTGTGTGTGTGTGTATGTGTGTGTGTGTTCTCTATTAAAATGGGATGGATGCTACCAATCCCTAAAATTTGTGGTGCAGTAGGTGTGGGGTGGCATCTAGAAATTTCCATGCCTAACAAGTTCTCTGATGGTAGTAACACTGCTGGCCCAAGAATTGCGATTAGATAATCACTGCTCTGGAAAATCGTGTAGGGTCTCTCTCTCTCACCCTTCTTACCTAGATGAAAGCAGCAACATAAGATTCACAAGGGGCTCCAAGAGTCATCACCTCTTCTTGTTGCTGTCGGACCTCCCCCTTGCACATACCAGAACGTTTTTTCCTGGGGATACATGCCTTCAGGGAATGGGTTCAACAGCTGTATGAGTCTAATTTATGTTGTGATCACAAAGTTCCCCAGACTAGGCAATTTACCAACAGTGGTTAGTTGTTCTAGAAACTGGAAAGGGGTGCCAGCATTTGTCATCTGCTGACGGCTTTCTTGCTGTGTTATATCATGAGGCTGTTATAGAGAGGGGAATGGAAAACTGATAAGTTGGGCCTCTTTCCCTCTAGAGGGCCATTAATCTGTTCATGAGGAACCCCATCTAACCTTAATCATTGGTCAGAAGCCTCAAGTCTAAATACTATCAACACATGAGTGTGGAGGCTTGAGTTTCTAAACCCTGAATATTTGGAGACAGGGTGCATTTAAACTGTGTTCACAGCCCCCAGGTACAACATGACATCTGGCAAGACACCGAAACCTACCTTCTCAGTGGCAATGGACTACCTCATCAATAGAATTGGCTGATTTGTCAGTGGAATGAGCTAATTTAGAGTCAGTACTCATCAAATTATCTCTGTTTCCCTAGGCTTCTGGGATTATCCTGAGATATGGATTAGTTCCTGTTCTGGTTTCCTTCTCTGATGCTGTTATAAACACTGTCCAAACAAACTTGGGGGGAGGAAAGGATTTATTTCATCTTACTGCTTATGATTTATCACTAAGGGAAGTCAAGGCAGAAACTTGGAGGTTAGAACTGAAACAGTATCACAGAGAAAACCTGTTACTGCTCATGCTCAGCTGTGTTTCCTATCCAGCCCAGGACCACCTGTCTAGGTGTGGTACCACCCTTAGTGGCCTGAATTCTCCTACATACAATCAGCAGTTAAGGAAAAGCCTTGCAGACATGACCACAAGTCAATCTAATGGAGGCAATTCATCAGCTGGAGCATCCCCCGACCCCTGTGCCCTGGGTGTGTCAAGTTGACAACTGAAGCTAAGTATGACAGTTGCAGGCACACACACACACACACACACACACAAGGACTCAATGAGTTACTGATACTTTTATATGGGTACTAATTATAAATAAGTTGGGTTTTTCTAAATGTAGACAATGTTTAGGTTTTGAAATGAGAGAAAACATGGTTTGAATAATTTCTACTGTGCCTTGTCTGCTAGATGCATAACAGGAATTGCCAAGGCTTTTGTAAAGTTTTACCAGAAGGAAGCGTGAAAAATGCTTAGCTGGAGAGACGGCTCAGTGGTTAATATCACTTGCCACTTTCCCAGAGATCACAAGTTTGGTTTCCAATACCCAAACCAGGTGGCTTACTACTACCTCCTGGTCCAGGGAGTCAGACTCTCTTCTGGCCACTTTAGACATATCACATATGTGGCAAACACACAGACATATCACAGAAAAATAAAAATGAAATAAACAAATGCTTAGCCCTTTGTCTTACAGTCTGTGTTCAACTAATATTAATGAGCCTTACCCCCTCTCCTCATGGCTTTGTGTTCCTGTTACAAAGACCATTTTACCATTGAACATCATGGCTGTTTTGAAACATATGAAGAAAAACACAAAAGCAGGTTTAGACTGGGACGGTCATTGCCAGAACCAAGGCAGATAGCTCTCCACTGCCGCAAATTTGGAGATTAATCTTTCTTGGTAATTTACGCGTGGCAAGGGATTTACCTTGCTGACTGCGGAGAGAAATTGACTCTGTAGGAGGCCACTTGGCACTGGGTGATGCTAGGAATGTGCTTCCTGCTGACAGAGGAGCATCAGCGGTCCACATACTGAGGCCCGGTACCTTGGACAGTGCAATGTGCACCAGCCCCTTCCACAGGGAACCGGTTCCATCAGCCAGTCTCTAGCTAGTTCTGGGTAATGATCTGTGGCAGTCTTGTTAAAGGCTCGAGGCGTTCACGTATTTCTGTAATTACTCAATAATTTGGAAGTTTTGAGTTTCAAATTATTGGGTATGAATTAAAATATCCTCTAATTCAGTTCCCTCCAGGCCTTGAACTAGCAGATTATCCTCCCAGAGAGGAGCTGCCATCACCTCTCCGCTCCTTTCTCCATGATTTACCATGATGGCACTCTCTTTGCCACCAGGTGTTTATACCATCACCCTAACATGCCCGGCGACCAAGTCCAGGTGCTCTGTTGAGCCCAGTTCTCTAGTGCCTTAGCTGAATGTTAAAATCGCCTCAGAACTGCTTAAGATGTGCCTTGTGGGGCCCCACCCCACAGACTGATGAATGAGTCTCCTACTCATATTTCTTAAATGCTCCCTAGGTAGTTCTAATGTGAGCCAGAACTGAGAGCCACCAGCCCAGAGACACACCCCCTCCCATCTACTGCTGTATCTTTGGAATTGATCTCAACTCCTTATGGACTTTTCTGTGAAGACAGGGCTTGGACCTGATTTTCTGCTTATCAATAGCCAACACTGCAACCTCATCTTCTTCAAATTTAGGATGGAGATGAAGTAACAAAAGAAGGACCCTGGGATGCTGGGATAGCCATTTGACAGTCACTGAGTGAAGTCCATGTGTGTATGGCCTGTGACCTGCCAATCTTACTCTTTCCTAAAATGTGTTTTTATTTTTAAAATTAAAATATAAGTACACCATCCACCCCTTTGTTTCCTCCTTCCATGTAGTACTTTTTCTTTGACTGTTATTGATCCATGTATGTATATATGCATAAACATATAAATACAGCTTGCTGAGTCCATTTCGTGTGGCTTGTGTGTATATGACTTCAGGAGTGACTATCTGGAATTGGATAACCAACTAGGGGGGTCATTCCTGGCCATGGCCAATTCTCCCTCTCTCAGCAGCCCTTAGTTGCCTGTTGTTGTTTTGTCTAGGGATGGGTCCTGTGAGGTTTCCCATACTCTTGCATAGACACTCTTGTATGCATGCTCTTGCACAGATATTCTTGCATAGATACTCTTGCACAGATAATCTTGCATAGATGCTCTTGCATAGATGCTTTTGCATAGATACTCTTGTAAAGATAGTCTTGCACAAATATGCTTGCATAGATAGTCTTGTATACATACTCTTGCATAAATACTCTTCCTTTGAGGACAGGTTCCTCTTGGAGCACTAGCCAAGATGTGATATAAATAGCAACATTGTTGGTGATGGAAAGTAATTTTAGGCAGCCAAGATACTCGCCAGCAAAACCAGACATGCAAGGGAGGCTGAGGAGGCAGCTCAGCTGGTAAAGAGCTTACTTTGCAAACACAACAACCTGAGTTTGATCCTCAGCACCCACGTTTTTGAAGAAAATTCAAGAGTGATGCACGAGTAATCCCAGTGCTGGAGAAGTGGAGAGGGGCTGGTCCCCAAAGTGCACTATCTAGTGAGAAAATGTGTGGGATGTATGGAGAAGCAGATGGTGTCCAGGTAACAATAGCCAAGGTTGGACTCCTCTGCCCTCCACATGCACATGTATGCACACCTCCACATGTACACATGCATCTGCACATGTGAGCATATGCATATATACACATACACAAATAGATAACCAAGATGTAGAAGATGCATTCATGGATTACAGCATAGAAATTAATGCCAGAAAATGGAGTTATCTGCTGTGATATGAGGAGAAGTGTAAAATAAAGCACTAGAAGATGAAAAGAACAGCATGGAGTCTGCAGTCATGGCCACTTGTGTACATTTAAAGAAAATTCACTCACAAAACAATATTACAGATTTTCCACGAGCATACTCATATCCAGGGGTGTTTACCAAGCACAGCCTAAGTGCTTGGGGGAAATGGGACTGAGGAGTGGGGATGAAAGGAAAAAATAATGAAAGAAAATCTAGCAAGAACAGGACCTTCAACAGGCAGGGGCTGACAGTATGTGCTGTGAACCAAGATGTATGATGAGCCTAGCATGCTGCAAAAGGAGGAAAGAGCTACAGAAAGGGGGAGAGGAGGCTGGAGCTGGAGAACCCAGGGAGAAAAATGGGACCTTGGGTACCAGTAAGGAGAGCCGTGAGCCAGCCCCAGGCTGGAAGGAGATGCCTAGCGTTATTGCTCCTTATTATGGATCGAAAGAGGAAATGGAAACAGCTTTCTGTGTTGGAAATAAAGGCATTTACCCAAGTCCTAAGACAAAAGGGGGGCAATTTACAGGCTGGAGCTGAGAAATGGCACTTGTAGACTAGAAGGGGATTTTCTGCGGAGACTCCAAGCCTATTGCTGCTGCCCCAGGTGGGAGGTGGACTTCATTCCTCCTAACACGCTGGGCATACATAACAAGTTTCAGAACAAAAGATGTTTCTTGAATTTCTGGAATCATGGTGCTATTACCCCCATGATAGAATGATCTGTGCCTATGTTCTCTGCATTATTTACTTTTTCTTGTTGTCATAAAAATACAGGACAAAAGCAACTTAAGGAAGGAGAGGTCTATTCTGACTCCCAGACTGGGGGCTGGGGGCACAGTCCATCATGGTGGAGAAGGTATGTAGGCAGGTGAGTGAGGTGGCTGGTCACATGACACCCACAGCCAGAAAGCAGAGAGAGAGAGAGAGAGAGAGAGAGAGAGAGAGAGAGAGAGAGAGAGAGAGAGAGAGAGAGAGAGAAGAGAGACTTGGGCCCAGTTCCCTTTCTCCTTTTCATTCAGTCTCAGCCCCTGAGGACGGCACTGCCCATACAGAGGGTGAGTCTTCCATCACCGGTTAGAAGCACTTGCTGTTCTTGCAGATGACCTGGATTTAGTTCCCAGAACCCACGTGGTATGTCAATCATCTGCAACTCCAGTTTCAGGAGATCTGATAACTTCTGGCCTCCATGGCCACCAGGCACAAACATGTTACACATACATACATACATACATGCAAATACTCATTCACATAAAATAAAAATTAACAAATCTTTAATAAAAAAATCTCTGGCAGGCACAACCAGAGGGATGCCTTCTAGATGCTTCTAAATTCAATCTCAATTCAGAAGATGAAGCTGAGCCCCCCTAGGCCCCATTCCAGATTTCTTCAGGTACTTAGTTATACCTTGCCATCAAGTTCCATGCAAGAAGCTTTGATCACATGCTAAGCTGTGGTGCGAAGAAATGAGCTGGATGTCCCTAGCTTCAGGCAGGGCAGATGTGAGTGCTGAAACTTCCATGTTTTTTTTTTTCTGAACACTGGGATGAGGCTGAGTAGCACCGCTTGTACCCTTGACAGGAGAGAGTTGCCTGCTTGTGGAACAGTAATGCTTGGGATGATTCCTGTCAATCTGGAGAAACACATACCTTAGTGGGGAGCCTTTTCCTCCATGCTACTGAATAAGAATAATGAATACATTAATTAATGTATTAAGCAATCATGCTCTGAGCGTGTTTCCTATTAGAACTCAAAGAAAGAACAACACAAATGTCACCCACTTGAAGATGACACGGATGTCAGGTCAGACTTGTAGAACAGTGGTTGTTGCAGCCAGGTTGAGTTTTACATCTATGGAAACCAAGAGGTTATGGCATCAAAATGAGCCCCTCCCAAAATGAGCCAGGGTGGCTTCTACTTTGGGGAGTCACCCTAGTCGGCCCCTCCCAAAAGCCACACTGCAGGGGTGTTGAGAGCAATTATCTTGGCAAAGCTCTTACTTTGCATTTAAGATCGTCCTCCTGAAAAGGTCATGTGTAAATCAAATTTAATAAATCAAATTCTACACTTTGTACCTTGGGGAGGTTCTCTCTTCAAAGGAAACTGTGAGCGAATCCCTTTTTAATAGAAGTAATCGGCTCTCCATTTATCTGCTCTGAAGGGTAAGATTTTTAGATACCAGGTTTTCTTACAGTGAACAGCAGGGTCCTTTTGTCAATGACAGAAAACACAACCCAGGAAGGAGTACAAAAGCAACAAGAGCCAATCATGGCATCAGAGGTCCACGCAATGCAAAGTTTCAGACTGTCCTGGCTTTGGGCATGGCTGGGTTCAGGCCTCAAACCACAGGGAAGAATTCAAGGGTTTCGTTTTTCTGTCTCTCAAATCTGCTTTCTCTTGGCCTGACTCTTAGGTGCTAGCCATGTGCAGTGGCTGCAGTATCTTATACACCAGGTTCAAGCCAGGAACAAAGCGTGCTTGTTTCTCTTCCCAGACATCTCAGTAATGGCTCTAGGAGAGTCATCTGCCCCTTTACCTGAGTGAGTGAGTAGCCAAAGGCTGGCTGCCTGGGTCCTGATGCAAATCACCTGATCTGAAAGTGGGGGAAGGCATTTCACGGAAGGAAGGCTAGGCTGTTAGCAGAAGAAATGGGGCTCCCTGGTTACAACTCAGTCCTTCCTTCCTCTGCTCCCTCACAGGGAATTCATCGCGAAGCACCTCTCTTGAACTGTCCCTGCAGCAGTTGTCTGTGAAGCGCTGGCATGAGAATCACTTAGGGTGCTTGTTAAAATGCAGGTGTTAGGGTCCACCTCCAGTTGTAGTGAATTCCATTATCTTGCAGCGGGTCTCAGAATCTGCAATTTTAGGTCGCTTCCCAGGCGATGTTTTAAAAATGGTCACTGACATTAAAGAATCATTTTCCAAAGCTATTCCACCCTTCCAGTCACCCACTCATTGCCGTAGCTCCAGACTCGTAACTTCTCACCAGGCTCACCCAAATGCCTCTGACGTCTCTTCCCTCTCCAGGTTCACACAGGCAACCCGGCTAACCTCTTGCTCCAACACTACCTCCTCTCCTCAGCCTCCAGGTGACAGGACCTCCTCACTCATGCAGGACCCGGCTGCCTTAGATGTATCTCTCATATCTGTCCGTGTGCCCCAAATTCTAAGTTCTTCCCTCAGCTCCTCTGCGTGTCACTTCCTACTGGCTCCTTTATCAAAACCCAGCTCACCTGCCACCACTGTGTGCAGCCTTCCTGCCTACCCTCCATCTGTCCCTCCCTCCCTCCGTCCCTCCCTCCGTCCCTCCCTCCGTCCCTCCCTCCCTCCCTCCTTCCCTCTCTCCCTCCCTGCCTGCCTGCCTTCCCTGGGGAGGAGTTTATTACTGCACCTTTCCTTCCTACCTACTCTCCTATGGGGCCGCCTACCTCTTTCAGAGTGGTTTAGCATGCTACATGGGTTGTAGTCATTGTATTATCTATCTTTCCCTCTGGCCCCAGGAAGGGGGCTCAGCGATGTTTGTCAAGTGTTTGGAGGAACACAATGTGGAGTTGCATCTAGCCTGAGCTATTTTCAAGACGTGTGACCTTGGGCAAGTTACTTCACATCCCTGGGTTGTGGTTCCCACTCTGTAAAGTGTCTCAACACCTACTTCAGAGGCCTGTGAGACCAGGAGCGGAAATCTCAGCACAGTGCCCGGTAACAGCACCATAAGCACCGGCTGCGTGTGAGATTCGAAACCAAAGAAATGGCAACAAACCTTTAAGTTAAGGAAGGAACCACCTTTACCAAAAATCCCAGTTTTCATGTAGTTCTGAGTAATTATGACTTAAGCCCCGTGGCACAGAATAACCCTGTCATGCTGTGAGGCTCAAATCTGGAACGGTGCAAATGGAATCTGGCTTTAGGTTCTTTCTCATGTTCTGGACGTTTCTCTCCTCCTCTTATCTTCCCTGGAGCTTTGGAGCAGCCTTTTAAGGCCCTCCCTCAGAAGCAATCGTGTTCTGCCCGTGGAATGCTGATACAGGCATGATGCAGATTGCCATGCAGTCATTTTTCTAGACCATGGAAACGTTTCAGTACCGCGAGAGTGTGGAAGGCTGGGATGCCTGG